GCACTCCAGACTGGAATCTCAATGATAAGATGGGTGCTGGCATGACCCGCGTATGGAGACGCATGGATCCAAATGTAGAAGTAGTCACCAGTGCATTAGTACGCCTTTATTTAGACACTAAAGATACATGGTATTACTAATGGAAAGCAACGTTTTGGAACCATAAGCAGTCCCTTCATCATGCACTGTGTTTGCCTGATGAAGGGACCGCTTATGGTTTCCAAATTTTGCTGTCCATTAGTGATACCATGTATCTTTAGCATCTAAAGAAAGCCATTGTGAGGAGACACACAGGACTCCACTGACACTAATACTGGTGGGGCATATAGGATCCTACTGTCATCAAAGCCATGGGAGGGGACATTCCTGACACTACTGACAGCAATGCTGGGGGTAAAGATATTCAAGATCCCACTGACACCAATGCTGAGGGGGACATTTGAGATCCAACCTACCCTACTATTGGGGAGGGGGCTTTAAAATACCACTAATGCCGAGGAATGTATTAATCCCACTGATGCTGGGGCACATATTACTTCCACTGATGCCTGGGCTTTTTAATTACCGAAACAGACAGAGGGCATTTATTACTTTTACTGATTCTGGAACAGTTATTACTCCCATGGGCACCTGGACTTTTTTATTACTCAAACAGACAGGGGGCATGTATTACTTCCACTGATTCTGGGACACCTGTTACTCCTAAGGACACCTGGGCTTTTTATTACTCAGACAGGGGGCATTTATTACTCTTATTGATTCTGGGACACTTATTACTCCCATGGACACCTGGACTTTTTATTACTTAAACAGACCGGGGGCATTTATTACTTCCACTGATGCTGGAACAAATTATCACCTCCACTAGCCACTGAAGCATTTGGATGGATAGTGAACTGGCCCTGTGTTTACAAGGCTTGGTGACCCCTAGTCCATATTCGAGGTACCAGGGGCGGACTGACCATTCGGTCACTCGGACACTGCCCAAGGGCCCTCGGCCAGGAGGGGGCCCGTCACCGACCCCTGTTTCCTTTCTTTCTTTTTCAGTCTGCACACAGCACACAGCATGTGTTCCCTGGGCCCACCAGACCCTGCCATCGCTGCTTTAACACAGTAGCTCCTGCTAGTATGGCAGTGGCTGTTGGACAGGGCCTGTCTTGAGCTGCTCTTCAATTAGCTGCTGCTCCCTCATTCGGCCCTTGGCCGGTCTGGCGCGCTGGATGATTATGTCCCTCGATCTGTCCTTTCCGCTGTGTACCCACAGGGCTGGAACGCTGCTGTGTCAGATCAGTGCTGGGATGGAAGATGTGTGTTTACATGGGGGGAAGATGGAGATCACCAGCACTCATTTTTTTAATTGGCTACATACTGTATATACATCGGGGGACACGCAGTGACAGCTCTCAGCAACAGCTTTAGACTGAGAACTGTGCTTTAAGATGTGGGGCGAGTGAAAGTAGCGCTGTGAACAATTCACTGAGCCATGCATGACACATATACTCCACAGGGCTGGTGCATGCATTTTTGCCTACACAGGCAAATGTACATTTTTATATGTGCACCCTCAGGCTTATGCCAGCCCTGCTTGAGCTGCTTGCCAATTGGTTCTGGCTCCCTCAATCGGCCCTGGCCTTTGGACTGTCCAGCGCTCTTGGATCCAAGTGAGAAGAGATGGTGGAATGGCGGGTGTCACGCTGGTACTTCAGGGACCTGGCCTGCTGCGGGGCAACCTATTGCACCCACCCACTGGACCTGCTGTAGGTGAGCGCTTGTCTGTCTGTGTTCGAGCATTGAAGGAGCTGCCCATTAAAGTGTGTGCAGGTGACATTCCACAGAGTGTGTGTGTGATGGCTGATCCTGGAAACGTTGTTGTGTATTTTTCATTCTAACTGCTTAGTCTACAGTATGCATTGAATCTGGTCTGCAGTCTGCCTTGCATTGGTGTTGGTCTGAGTTTTGTCATGCATTGGGTCTGGTCTGCAGTCTGCCGTGCATTGGTGCTGGTCTCAGTTTTGCCATGCATTGGGTCTGGTCTGCAGTCTGCTGTGCATTGGTGCTGGTCTGCTGTGTGCAGAGCATTGGTGCAAGTCTGGAGTTTGCAATGCATGGGGTCTGGTCTGCGGTCTGCCCTGATTTGGCACTGGTCTGCGGTCTGCCTTGCACTGGTTCTGGTCTGAGGTTTGCCATGCATTGGTGCTGATCTGAGTTTTGCCATGCATTGGTTCTGGTCTGCGTTCTGCCATGCATTTATTCTGGTCTGCGGTCTGCCATGCATTGGTTCTGGTCTGCAATCTGCCGTGCATTGGTTCTGGTCTTCGGTCTGCCGTGCATTGGTTCTGGTCTGCAGTCTGCCTTGTATGGGTTCCGGTCTGAGTTTAGCCATGCATTTATTCTGGTCTGAAGTCTGCCGTGCATTGTTTCTGGTCTTGGGCAGACTGACCATTTGGGGGCTTTACTGCATGCACTGGAGCAGGGGACGACAACGGGGTTTGCATTCTGCACATGCAATATGCGCCCACACCATCGCTCCAGTCCTAGATTATTCAGTTACCCTGACAATTTTCCTACAAATTATCCTGCAATTCAGTAAGGATAATTGGCAGAACTGAAGAATCTACGTCAAAATAGCTAAACTAGAAAAATTCTGCCATTTAGCTCACTTTCCAAATCACCAATATTGGTCTAGATTTTGAACGTCCCCTGCAGTTCACTTTTTAGTGAATAGACCTGCTATTTTGAAAACAGTGTGGAGAAATAATTTCTGTAACACAAGAAGGTATATGTGGGTGGGGCCTGTATATGGGTGGAGCACAAGCAGGCCCCATAATCTCGTATTGCCCAGGGGCCCCGTGTGTTGTCAGTCCGCCCCTGCTAGTTACATTATATTCACTGTTATGACTTTAAACTCAACACAAACAGAATATCAAACTTAACACAAACAGAATTGGACGATGGATATAATGTATTTAGTTGTCGTCATTTCAAGATACAGTGTAGCAGACATTCACAATATTTTAGATTTCATTGTACAATAGTATCATGTACAACATAAACTGTGCCAGTGCAATCATGCAATATGAAACATATATTTCTGTCAATATAATTAAAACAACAGAAATTTAAACATAGAATTTTATTGATTGTTTTTACATAGTATACATTTTCAATCATTCTGTGATCATGGAAAAACAATTTACATTAGATATAATTGTAATTTAAAAACAATGATTCTGTTGCATGAGATCTCTAAGCATTCATATTTGCAGTATGACGTGAACATAACAAAGTGGAAATAGTTACAGCAAAAGGTATTTATTAGATTTTTTTCATCACAAAACCCACAGAGCATTAATATTGTATACCTATGCTATACACTGCATTATTGTGAAATGCAGGGTTCACTTATATTTTGACACTAAAAATACATTAGCATGACTAAGAAACACATGCTAAGATGCAGCAAATTACAGCAAAATGTAGTCAAACAATAATGTGGCAAAATGCAGCATTTTTATAGTGTGAATCCAGCCTTATTACACTTGCTGAGGGGGCATTTCTGGAAATGGTTGATCAATGATATAAACAGGCAGTATTTCCTGGACTAATCAGATAAGTTTTACATGTTTTATTTTTCTAGTGTACCTTGTAAAATCAATACAAAGCTTGGCTTATTCAATAATTAACAATAGTTGTAATATAGTAACCAATAGCAGTAGAAATCATAATTTATTTTTTAATTCGCCTTACTACATTAAACTGAAACTGTATTGGTTTCTGCGGGTTACTGCATTTAGCACATTTTAATTGCACTGCTTCTTTGAATTATCTCTGATTGTACTGTTCATAAGAAATCATTTCATTCACCAGTTATGCTCAAAGTGAACCCCTTGCCCATGCACACCAAAAATTACATTTGATATGAGTAGAAATTTTTCATAACATTCTCTGACACAGTTGAATACCTACACCTGAGGCGGATATTTTTTTTAACATTCCCCTCCTCTATATGTCAAAATTATTTTCAGCAATAATCAGGAAAATTTGACAGTACAAATGTTCTATACCTCTACATTATAAAGTATATATGATCACGAAACATCAATCAAAAAAACATAATAAAATTCAAATGATCAACAGTGGCACACAGTGAAACATGGGGATAATAACAAAGTGGACAGGCTGCAGGCGATTAGATTTTAGTACTATTTTAGTACTATTTTAGTACTATTTTAGTACTATGGTCCTATAAACAAACAGAGCTGACTTGACACTTCATATGCAAAAAAAATTACTATACTAGCAATATATAGGAAACAAATGGACAATCATCTACAATATTCAGGCAGAACAGTCTGCAGAACAGTCCATTGTTACAATACAAACATACACTTCCAACCAGCTCATCTTCTCTCCATTATCTTCTCTAGGTTGCACAATCTCAGTGCATCTCCACAGTATCAAATTATGCAAAAATGTCAGAAGATAATCAGCACTCGCTATATTAAAGTGTTGCTCCAGGCCAAGTAATAAGCACAGTAATCAGCTACAGATCCACTTTGAAACTGTACCCAGATTTTGTACACTAAAGTGTAGACATATTCTGAATAAGCAGTAAAAACAAGCTCTCATTCATCTCTGTGTCTATAAGCATTGTGGAGAAATGTCATTTATAAGTTAAAATCTTAGTCTTGTTTCTATCAGAGCACATCTTGGCTGCCTGCCAGCCCTGTAATGTAAAACAACCAGTAGGTGTTTTAAAGCCATTAGACTGAAACCTGAGGTCAGAGGTGACTTGTTTTAAAGCTGTTTTACTTCCTATTAAAATATGTAAATAGTTAAATGTCCATAGTCTTGTCACAGGTGCACTTTATCATACTAATCATTCTAAACCAGTTTCATTTACAAACTTTCAATAAGCATTGACTAAGATGTTGATACTATATAAGCAACAATGAGTGAGAGTAGCAAATGTCTGCTGTGAGACAATACTGTTTGCACACCAGAGGTATAGACGGTCCTGACATTTAGTTTTTGTATAGGTCTGAAGTTCTCCACCATGACAGCATTCATTGAGTAGTTAAGTTTTGTGTAGAATGCTTGTAGCTGTAGAAGGAAAAGAGAGAGGTACAGTATTATTCATATGCATTATGAAATTTAAACTGGAACTAAAACTTTTTAAAAAATTTTGTTTAGAGTAAGGGAGGGTTATAGCCCCTGAAAGCTTTTTTGCCACCTGTGTCCATTGGGGAGATTTCCCTTCACTTTCTGTTTGATCACCACAACAGGAAGTGATGGAAAATCCCTTCAAAGAGATGAAAATCCCTAGTGTCCCCATTAGAATTTTTCCCATCTATAACTGTTCTGGTGGCCAGACCAAAATGTTTTATTCTCTTTCACTTTCAGTGATCAAGACAAACATTCACCAGAAAAAAACATAAAAGGTAATTCTCCCTAACGAGTTGAGGATACAGACAGCAAAATAACTTGACAGGTGTTCTAATCCCTCTCAAATCCATCCAAAACTTTAAAAAAACAACTTTTGGCTTCAGTTTCACTTTTAACAAAATAGGAAGAGAGAATTCATGCTGTCAGATATGTGAGCGCACCTTAGATGACACTCTAAAATCACTCTTCCTACAGTGGGCTCCATGTTTTAAGTTTCTAAACCCCCACCCTTACAGATTGTTGTAGAATAAGGCAATATCATTTGCGACTTTAAAAAAAGTTAGGCCTTATGTGAAACCCTAGACTTGGCATCAATCCAATTTATTACACCTGAGGCGATATTGTTCCCCAGGGGAAAGTGGGGGTGGGGGGTATTGAGAGGCCAGGCAATGGTCACTGGTCAATTTCTTGTGTTGGAGGGAGGGCAGCTCACTGATGTTCCTGGGTGCCAGGAGATCAGTGGGATGCAAGCCAGGGTGTCTTGCTCATCTCTCGGCAACCAGTGACTAGTAAGCTGAGCTGAATGCCAGGCGGAGCATCACAGGTTGCTAAGAGCTCTTAGCAACCTGGGATGCCATGGCTGCCTCCCTTTCCCACTCAGCCACCCCCCAACTAACTCAGGCTTCTTTATTATAGGGATGGCCCTGCCTGCAAAGTGCAAATTCCCTCGCAATTGAAAAGCCTATTTGCCTTTAATAAATCAACACCATAGTGTTACAGAGTAGACTGAAACACATGTAAAACCTAAATGCCAAACTGCAAAGGGTCGTGGGTTGGTTTAACTTACTAGCAAATGCCATAAGATAGAACACCAGACTGATTCTTTAAATTAATGCTGCTTATGCCAAGCAATCAACAATGAAAAAGATAGAGATTTTGATAAAAGTATCTACCTGGGATTTCCCTAGAGTTATTTTCTTATGAAACACAGTCCAGGTGACAGATTCATCACAGCCAGGAGTAGTGAGAGAGCCATCATATCTGTAGAAATGTTTTAGATCCTTTGCTTCTGGAATCAGCTCTTGTAATTTCACTTGAGAAACAGTTGTAGACTTGCCTAATTGTAAAAATAAACAGTTTACAATGGCTTTAATTAAAGCATTTCCTGAAATATATATTCTTGAACCTTGTTTTGAAACATACATATTGTTAGTAACCATATGAAGCATCAATTATTAAAGGGAAACTTAATTTCTGTTAAAAATTGATATAACATATACACATAAGCCTTTTTCTGTTTTGTGTTAATAAAACCTACCTTTTAAATTCAGCGTGCAGCCGGCTTCTATTTTGTAAAACTGACAAATACTTCATACATGGCTTCCTTGTGTGAGAGCGTTCTGTTCACTGTTAGTGTTAGGCAGCTCACTAGAAATTTAATTTCCAGCTGATTTGATTGGCTCACTGCAGTTTTTCTCTTATTACAACACTGGGACTGAGAAATGGGACAAAGCACTTAGGAAGTAGGAAATGTGAGTTCCAACACAAATGGCAGCAATGCATTTTTCTTAAAGATCTTAGTTAAAAGTACAAAAAGAAAAACACTTCTGGCTGGGAGTTATGTTCTGCAGAAGTTGTCTCTCCTCTAAGAATCACACTTGATGCAAAAGTGAGCCAAAACATCCTCATTAAAGACCTACTTATTTTATGTAGGTCCAACCAATCCACTGAGCTGCTGTTTGCTTCACCTGGAGAAAGCTGGAATGTGTGAGCACTCCTAGGCCACCAGAAAAGATAGCAGTAAGTGTTATGGTAGTGGCTGGAAAGTAATTTCCTTTATACACTTAGAGTAGAAAAAAAAGGCCAAAATGACATTAAACTCAGGAGTTAAATCTCAAAAATACATTCGAGTACCTTAACTATTAACAAAAATGTACCTTATTTGTATATCACTCAGCTGTAGATCCTCAAACCATCTCTGAAATGTCCTTTCTACTGGAGGGTGACTGCTTTGTTCCCCATGGTCCCTGTGTGAGTTGTAAAGTAGTCACTGTTCCAAGCTCACTCCCGTGATGGACTACAATCTCATGTTTAATGTACTAATTTGTATTGATGTTATAGTCTATCATGGGAGGAAATCTGGAGCGGTGGCTTCTTTACAACACACACGGGGACCATGGGGAACAAAAGTAGCCACCCTCCAGAAGGAAGGAGTGTCAGCACCAATTCATAGGTAATGTGAGGATCTACAGCTGAGTCATACACAAATAGGTTACATTTGTGATCATAGTTAAGGTACTTGAATGTGTTTTTAAGATTTCATTCCTGAGTTTAGTGTCACTTCAATAAATCAGATTTCTATAAAGTTTTATGTAGACACTAGAAAAGATTTACAAAAAAACAAAACAAGAGGATGTTAAAGTGAGTCTGTAGCCAGACTGTACATTCAAGTATATACATGTTACTAACAAGCAGTAAACAAGCTTTAAAATAAGCTGTGGACCCTGACTGATCCCTGTAGCTGCATGTACTGTACAGCAATTTATGCCCAAATTTTACAAAAGATGCACCAAAGTTTTTGCTCACCAACCCTCAAAAAAGATGTCCATGAAATCGAGCAAGTTTAACTGCCTCCGGGCCGGCCGTAGTAGAAAAACGGCCAGCCCGGAGACTACGATATTAATAAAGGGGATGGAAGGCTTGAGTTATATAGATCACTTCCAGAAATTAAACGTATTCTCCTTTGAATAGAGGCACTTAAGAGGGGACCTAATTGCAGTTTTCAAAATCATAAATGGGGACCACAGAATTGGTAATAAAATGTTTACACCAAGAACTCGATTGATGACACGTGGACACAACAAGAGGTTAGAAGAGATGGGGTTTAATCTTACACTGCATAAGGTTTTTGTTTTACAGTAATAGGAGTACAAATTAGGAATTCCCTTCCACAGTCAGCAGTATCCGCTGATAGCATAGATAAATTCAAGAAACTTCTAGATGAGTTTCTTAGTTCGCAAACTATAGAAGTCTATGGGGAGTACTAAGAGCCTATTAATTACAGAGAAACACACACAAACACACATAGGTTGAACTGGATGGACCTGTGTCTTTATTCAACCTTGCCTACTATGTAACTTACAGGATTTACAGGATCCGCTATTGACGGCTTAGTGCCAGATACCACAGCATACCTCCAGAGGTCTAGGGGAGTCCTGCCTCAACACGTCAGGGCTGTTTTGATGGCAAAAGGGGTACCTACTCAATCTTAGGTAGGTGGTCATAATGTTATGGCTGATCGGTGTATATTAATAAACATCAGTGTTAATAACTTTTAGCACTATTAATGTAGTAATTTTTACATCTGCATTATGGGCCTATTGATTCGGAAATTACTTTGTCTTACTTAAGATAACAAAACAATAAATATTTATTTTTTCCTGGACAAACAAAGCTTTCATTTGGTGAGATTGTCTTGCAAAAATTATTTTACAGAATCTGTAGACAAAAATATGTGACCGAACTTAATAAAATGCAGCAGCCACTGCTGTAATGCAGAGCAGGTCCCAGCTATCATTTTGACAGCTGAGATTTGCTGGCAGTTGGAGTGGAAGCAGGAGAGCCACAGGACACATGTTGTTTTTTTTAAGACTTTTGGGGTGCATGGCGCATGCCCTTGATCTTCAACTGGATAAAGTTCCACACGTTCAATGTACAGGGAAATGGAAGATTGGGTGTTCTGCGCTATGGAACAGACCAAAAAAGAGGAAGATTCGCAAAAAATCAGGGTTAACCACAAGCTGCTAGAACTAAGGCTGAATAAGCCTCACAGATTGGTTTTAAAATAGTAAGCGCTATAGGTCTCCTGGTGTATGGTGAAAAAACAAACAATAGTGAAATATATTGTAAATAGTATAAGAATGTGTGTAAAATATATAAATATATATCTCTAGAGGAACAAAGTGACCATCCTCTTGTGAACGATAAAGCAATCAATATAAAATGATGTGTAAATAGAACGAACAAAAAAATAAATGAATATCAGCAATAAATAGGATGTCCGTGTGAGTTAATAAAGATAAATATAAATAGATATACATATATGTGAATCTTGAATAAATATGTTTAAGTACTAAACCGTGTGCTCGTGATTTTATCTGTGTAATAATATACACATATCTACACCTGTCATCATCTATGGTACACTATCAAGTGTGCAGTGATGTATTGTGAACGTATTCTGAACTTTAAAACAAATGGCCAGTCAGTCCTTGAAAAACTAAGTAATGTCCAGAGGTATTTCAATCTTAAAATGACAAAGTTCGAACTGAGAGAGACTTGGATGAATGAATCCCAAATGGTCGTATCCTGGGGAATGATGTATCGGAGAAAAGATGGGTCCCCGTAGGGCTTACACTCACCAGATGCCGGAAAGGGATCAGCTATCTCTTTCACCATAGTAGCCGAAAGGGGATGATCTTCACTCCGTCCTTCCGTGGGATCTTGTAGTGCACTTTCAGTGCTGGTCCCAAAAAAGATGTTGATGTCTCACGGTAGTGGAAGCCGCCCTAGCCGTAGCAAGGTGCCTTTGGATTGCTTCCGGGAGCGTGTCCTGATTCTTAGTCTCTCCGAGTATGGGTGTTTTGGATCCAGGAAAAATTAAAGGAGAGAAAGAGAGCAGGCCCAGGGCTCATAGTGCATTATGTCTCTCGGAGAGACTAAGAATCAGGACACGCTCCCGGAAGCAATCCAAAGGCACCTTGCTACGGCTAGGGCGGCTTCCACTACCGTGAGACATCAACATCTTTTTTGGGACCAGCACTGAAAGTGCACTACAAGATGCCACGGAAGGACGGAGTGAAGATCATTCCCTTTCGGCTGATCCCTTTCCGGCATCTGGTGAGTGTAAGCCCTACGGGGACCCATCTTTTCTCCGATACATCATTGCTTTACTTATCCTTTTTTTTCCTTTATTTTTATTTATTTATGTATAATTATATTATCCTGTTTATAAAATTAATATTTCTCTTTTTAGCATTTAGCTAAACTTTCCATGTATTCATATAATATTAAAGTACAACAACGGTGTATGGTACTGACAAATGAAGCCTGACATAACTGAGACATAAGACACAAGTTTGAAAGAAAATAATATTGCATATTAGTTCAAAATAATTCTAATCTTGATAGTCATTCGATTATGTCATACCTTTTAATGTAATGTCATTTAGTGCCTGGACTATACCATTATACTTGGGATTGTCGTTGGCTGATTCCTGTAAAGAAAGGGTGAGAATGTAGAAATTTGTTTTAATGACTACAATTCTTTTTCTAACACTTGTAGCTAGACTTTCCATGTATTTCTAAAATATTAACATTCAACTCATTCATTTTGTTTGTATTGTATATTTCATTTTTTGTCAATTAAATTTTGATATAAAAATGTAATGTAAAACAAATCAAAAGCAGGCCCAGCGGATTGCCCAATATTTACAAAACATTTAATTCAATTTGTGTGAATCTGTTTGTTTTTTTCTACCTAAAGGCATGTCTGTTCTGCTAACATTAGATTGCTTTTAGTAGCAAATAAGGCAGATTATTCTTCTGCAGAAGCATATGGGTGAAAGCTATTAGATGATTTATAACACTGTCACAGAGGTCAATATAATTTGCACATTTTATTCAAATTTTACTAAGTTCTTAATTGTAAGATACACTGCATGTTTGCTACTTCAATTAGTATTTTAACACATAAAAAAGCACCCATATTAGAATAATTTAACATACTTCAATAAAGAATCCAAGCACAGCAATTGTTCTTTTTCCCCCGGTAGTGCCTCCACTAGTGTCTGACCGGCTGCTGTCCTTTTTGTGAACAATATGAAGCTAAATAAAAGAAACAACATTGAATTGGTGTTTTATTTTATCACATTGTTTTTACCAACTTATATTTTATGTCTTCTTTTTTTTATGAAATCCATTTTTTAGAAATAACATTTAATACCAAATGATTTAATGTTGCATTGTTTACAGAGCAAGATAGTAACCAGAATAGTAAGAAAGCTCAGCACTACTTCTGTACTTGTTCTGCACCATCTCTACTTGGGCAGAACCCTCACAAAACAAACGTCTAATTGCCAGCAACTGACTGGAAGAGATAAATATGAAAAACATATATGCAACATTTCATATTTACCTACACATAATACAAACATACAATATACACTGAGTGGCCAGATTATTATGACCACCCCATCAGTACTTAGTTGGGCCACAAGATGACTCCACGAGATGACTTAGTTGGGCCGCCTCGTGACTCCACAAGATGTTGAAATGTGATGCGAGAATCTGACACTGCACTGTTGCCCTTCTGTTGTCTTGTACCAGTCTTGTCACTCTCCGTTCTGCCCTAACATTGACTAGTCGCTGACGGCCACAATTTGCACATTCAGGCCCAGATTTTCGGCTGACAGTCCAGTCTTTAAACACTTTAACAACAGCTGCTCTTGAACATTTAACGAATTCTGCTGTTTTGCTGATAGTCGCTCCATTGCTCCGAGCGCCAACAATCATCCAACGTTCAAAGGCTGTTAAATCGCGTTGGTTAGCCATTTCTTCAGAAAATAATCACTTCTACTGTCGTGATAAACAACCTGCTTCCCTATTTATAATGGTCTGGCCCTCTAGCAACTTATAGCTAATTTGCCTACAAACGTCAGGTGGTCATAATAATCTGGCCACTCAGTGTATAGAAATGCTATATGTTGCCTTTAATGACAGCAAGCTCCACCTACATCTTTATAAACTTGCTCTGTTTCTTCTTGATTCATCTAATGTTTATGAGCATGTAACTGCCTGTCAATGTCAACAGTAATGTTAATATAAATTCTCTTATGTTTTTGAATAACTATGGACACCATCTCTGTAATTTCCTGGTGCCAACTAGGCAGCATACATGCGGTAATAGCCCCACCCACTACCAACCCAAAGGACCAATAGATAGCTGTAATGTATCTGAATTCACACAGCCCATTCCTTTTTTTTTGTCCTTGGGAACCTGTGTGATCAAGCAAAAACCCTTACCTCCAACTTACGGTGGTTGTCTGTACAGGTTCAACCTTAGGTCCTAAATGTTCCAATAAGGTAGGGAACCCCTTCTGTGGATCTTTTTCGGTTTTATTACTGTGGAATATACGCACTTCGTAATTTTCCTTTCCTTGTACCACTGCAAGGCAGAATATTGAGCCCACCCAAAAGAATGGGCTGTTGGAGTTCAAACACGTAAAAGCTATACATTGGTCATGTGGGTTGGTAGTGGGTGGGGTTACTATCATGGATTGGAACCACAAAAGGAAAATCACAAGGTAAATACATTTTCTAATTTTGGGATTTAACATGTATATGTAGCCAATTTCTTTTTAGCTTTGCATAGAGTTAAAACTTCTGTCTTTTTGTCTCACTTGGAAGATTTGAGAGTAAAATGAGGGGAATTACCATCTTAGACAGTTGTCATCAGAACATCTGCCCTTATTGACCTCTTTATCCTCATCTCTCATATTGGTGACAACTGTAAAATCTTGGATTTCTCCTAATTTTTTGTTGCAGGTACAGCAATCACCAAGACAAATAGAGTGTGAATAACAGGGACAGCAATAAAAACTTGACAGAATGTCTAACCATTTCCCTTTTCCTCTCCAAAGCTAAAAAAGAAAGTTTTGCTTTGCTTACACTGTAAATATAATACACCTAATTCACTGATTTTCCACTGCTGATAATAAGAAATCAGAGTCTGCATCCTATTGTTGGAATTTCCATAATATCATGTATAAAAAACGTATTTAAAGGGAGGTTGGTGTAGGACCTCAGGTGCAAATACAGTACCTTGCCACATGAAGATACAGACAAAAGATGATTCAGCTTACCAGCATCCACCTAGAGCTGAAGTTTTTTGGTGGAGTGATACTTTTAGAATGGTGAAATGGTGGTAACAACATTATCCACTGTCAGATATCTGATCGATTTGTTTGCTATGTTCACAAAAGACAAATTTTACCTTTGCATGAGGAAAAGGTGAGTTAGGATTTCCTACCTCAGCTGCATATCTTTCTCCATCTATGCTGTGCTCAGATCCAAGCATGTCACTGTTACCCCAGTGAAAGTGAAGCTGTGCAGCTTTGTATGTACCTTCAAGTCCTCCTCCACTAATTGTAATTTCTGTACCTCCTTCAAAAGATAACTCCGCTACAATAAAATGGCTATAATAATAATTAAACTCTGAAATTGCTTTTAAAATTAAATACATTCATTATTATAAAACAGGTTAAGAAAACTATTTCTTGTCATAAGGCAATATGAACCTAGGTTACATACTATTTCAAGATAGAGAAAATGTCACCAGGGTATGTTAAAGACTATTCATAAACAACTTAGAAAGGTAACACAGAAAGTTTTATCACAGTCCAGTTTTTTTATGTTACAATCCAGTTGTGCTAGTGACAGATATTCATACCTAGTAGAATTAAAGTATATCTCCATACAAAAATGTCTCTTTCTTAACTTTTGGACAGAGTGGTGAGGGGTTAGACCCTTTGTCAAGTTTTTTTTTGCTAACTGTGTCTACACTGGGGATAATCGCCCCTTTATTTGTCATGGTGACCATTATTACTAAGAAAGAAAGGCAAGGGAAATCCAAAATTGGAGAGTTGACCCCGGAACTAAGGTAATGTAAATTATTTCAATGGGAACATTTGTTCCCGGGACAACTGTCTAAGTTTAGTATTCCCCTCACTTTTTTCACTAACTTCCTGTTGTGCCTCTGGACAGAAGGTGTAGGTAAATTTCCCCAATGGTACAAAAAAAAACACGGAAAGGGATTAACCCTTTCCTATGCTATCCAAAACTAAAAGAAAGTCTATACATACACTTTAAGGACTTGTTCACATCTGATGCTTTGGGTCTGTGCTTGAAGCCTTTTCCAGAGCAGTCCCAATGCAAAGGCAAGGCAGAATTGTGCCACACATGTTACATATCGCCACGAATGCCTGAGTGAGAGTTGTCCCCGGAACTAAGGTAATGTAAATTCTTCCAATGGGAACATTTGTTCCCAGGACAACTAAGTTTAGAATTCCCCTCACTTTTTTCACTAACTTCCTGTTGTGCCTCTGGACAGAAGGTGTAGGTAAATTTCCCCAATGGTACAAAAAAAAAAACCCTGGAAAGGGATTAACCCTTTCCTTTGCTATCCAAAACGAAAAGAAAGTCTGTACATACACTTTAAGGACTTGTTCACACCTGATGCTTTGGGGTTGATTTACTAAGCTTATAAACACACCACGAACATGTTTACACCTCTGTAGTGTGTTCCCTCCCAGCATGATCTATGGGTGGAATCTAAACACCTTTGTAGTGTGTACACACCCAGCAGGTGTGTTGTGCAAAGCCAAGCATGAATTGCAAGGTGATGTTGTGTAAATTAGCTCTATGTTGTGTTGCTTGCGTTGATGAATGCAGGAATGTAAATGCATGAGCTAACCATTTTTGTCTAAACTGTGAAGCAGCATTATATATGCATCATGTGCATGATTTTTCCATATATGGCATTAGTGGAAATATGCTTTTAGAGACTTTTTGGTTGATAAATACATTTTGCTGTGTCAAAATCACACGCACCTGGTGCGTGCGTGTGTTTAGGTTAGTAAATCACCCCCTATGGGTCTGTGCTTGAAGCCTTTTCCAGAGCAGTCCCAATGCAAAGGCAAGGCAAAATTGCGCCACACATGTTACATATCGCCACGAACGCCTGAGTGAGAGCAATAATTCCAGGGCTATTAATCACTTTTAACACTAAACTGATGAGCAGTAAAAGTATTTAAAGCGTCGCCTTAGGGAAATTTGGGGTATTGTAGATTCTTTGCGGTTTCACGGACGCACGCAATTTTAAGGCTTGACATGTTTGGTATCTATTTACCCGGCATGACCCCGTCTTTTATATTTTACCAATATTTTATATTGTATTCAGTTTCTGTGCACCACATTTCATTTTAGTGTATTTTATCCTAAAAATACTGGTTTGATAAACATTTGTGCAAATAACGTGCAACATAAAAAATTGTAACTAGCATTTTTTTATTCTACAGGGCCTCTGCTTTCAGAAAATATATCATTGTTTGGGGGCCTGAAGCTGTTTTCCAGCCAGAAATTCAGATTTTATCAAGTGTGTGCAAATGTAAGAAATTGCTCCGGTCAGCAAGTGGTTAAAGTACAGCTGAAGGCTCTTATGTGGCAGTCTAAACAGGTATCTATGCTCAAAAACTAGAAAGAAATATGTATTTTTATTTGAAATTTGTATAGGTTTTATCCCACTCCTAATAACCATATCCATTTAGAAGTTTGCAATCTTATTTATTGAAGATGCCCATAGGATGTACGTCTCACTCAGCCCTGTGCATATGCACTTCCTTGTTTCACAACACTCACAGAGCCTACCTTCTGAACTACAATTCAACATCTGAACAATGTAATATTATCATTGCTTGCTGGAAGCAATGCATGATGGGATATTTAGTCTTGAGAAATCATAGCAAGGAAAGAGATGCAAAGCACATTGGGAATCCAGGAAGTTGATGAAAGTGATGGGCAAACAGAAGGCAGAGCTCACTACATAAAAGGGACTTTTGCCAGTTTGATTGCACTGCCAGAAACAACTTTAGTATGTAGTCCTATTAGAATGCTGATGTTATAAAAGAATAGTGTATGCTGTCACTTTACAATTTATTTAGCGAGTACCAAATTCAGTTACATGCACAGCCTCACAAAGAAAACAAAAACACTTGCTTTACCATCCCTGACTAAGGCAAACCCTCTTTCATTCATATGTCACATGCTCCCGATCCCAGACACTGCAGCTCACAATGGGAGTGGTTTCAGCAACAGTAGCAGTTCTGCCAATCCAGATAGCAGTGGGCAGCACCAGGTGTGAACTAGGAATGTGAATCATCAGTGATAATGTTGACAGCCATACCCCAAGTATACAAATATACAGAGGCCAGACTGTACTATGACTTCACAGGCTGCATTCTTTTTCAAGTCAGTAAAAGTATTGAAGTCATAGAATACACATGCAAGCCACGAAGCTAGTCTTTTCAGAAGGTCAGCAGTGGCAACCAGCACATTTTCCTTACAACAGCTTCACTATAAGTGGAACCTTGTGATTTCTGACATCGGAAGATAGGAAATAGCCTCTTGTATGTCACTTTCATGTTTTGTACCATGCAAAGAATGTCATGTACTTATACATTGCAAGGACACTTACCTGAATGGCCATTGTTAGTTAGATTAAAGTTATTTTTAGAATCATATCCGCTAAAATTAAATGGCTTCAGATCTTTATTATATTGAGTGTTGTTTGTAACAATGTTTATCGGAGATTGTTCATTGCCGTTACATGAGTCTATTGTAGTCCATTGCTTTGGTCCTGTTTATAAAGGAGGGGAAAAAAAATAATACAAGTTGGATGGATTACTGTATCCAAAATCTAACAAATACAGTTATAATAAATGATCAGCAGACATTGAAAGGCTAAATATTCCTTTTCAAGACTAGCCTCTACTCTCTTCTACTCCTTTCACTCTCTTAATAAACTTAAACAGAATTAGAGAACTGACCTGAGATGTGGGTGACCTGGTCTTATCTCTAAAATTGAAGGGATGTCACCAGCACACCAATAGTATTAGAGTCCAAATTTGTTTATCGGAACATCATTTCACCAGAACTAGCGTTTTCGAGGCCACGCAGGTTCCCCTTCATCAAGAGGGATGAGCTTATGTTTCAGTCACTCTGCTCTCTCCTTCCACCAGCATGCTCCTTATTAACACATAAGTAATGCAGCACACAGAATTAGGTCCTTGTGCTGCATCTCCCTCCCAGATTGAGCTCTGCTGTACAGTGGGCTGCAAAAGACTGACACTAAGTCAAATTTAGGTACCTACACGCTTGTATTTAAAATACACATTTAACCATGTTATAATGAATACAGAGCTGCAATAATTTGTGTGTTTTATATTTGCTTGGAACCAACTCTACCAGTGTAAAGAGCATTAAAAACGGACAAAAAAAATTATCATATTTATTTACAATTGTGGCAGTGCGTGGCAATGCCACGGTGTAGTATGGCAACTTTGGCACCCAGGACTCTCAGCCAGAGGGGCTGAGAGGTTCCACAAGTGAATACCTTTGGAGAGGAGGAACTGGCTGTTCAGTACCTTCCAGGTTTTCCAGACTATAGTGGGATGGGATCTCCAGTCCTGGGGCCAGGTGTTGCCAGTGGCCAGGTTGGGCTGATCAGGTGGCTGAGAGCAGCCTTATTAGGAAGCCAGCCCAGTGCTTTAGAGGAGAGTTGTGGGTGTGCAAGAGGCACACAACGACAGGCAGACTCTGCTGCGTGCGTGAGTACAAGGGACACAGCCAGGAAGGCTGGAGAGGTCCAGAGGGTTGGTGACCCTAAGATACCTGTTGGGGAGACAGAGAGGGACAGTGACCCACGAGGGGTGGATACTGAACAGCTTGTAGCTGAGGAAAGCTGCAGAGAACTGTATTTCCAGGGCAAGTCCTGGGACTATCACACTGGAGGTGTATGGGACAGCCAGATGTCGGTGAGACCCAAAACATGATGTGTTGATAAAAGTCAAATTAACTGTTATGGTTTATTTATGCTGAAGAAAAGCAAGTTTGTGTGAAGTTCATGGACTGTTCACCATTTGAATGAATAAAGACTGTCCTTTTATGTTAAAGTCGGCTTCAGGAGTGGTCTCTTAGCGCTTACCATTGTGCTATATTCCCCAAACTATCACAACAATGTTAAAGTTTTTGTTTTAGTAGCATCAACCTTAAAGTGAATCATTCAGAATCTGTTTCCCCTAAAGAGCCATTACCCACAGCAAGTCTTCCTCTCTCCTATATACTGTACAGAGACATGCTTGCCAATGTAAAGTTGTGTGTCTGTAAAAAGATTGGCAACCATGTTCAGAGCCGGCCTTAGGCCTTTAGGCCCCCTTTGCGAGAAAGCTTGTCAGTGCCCTCAGTGACCACACCCCTTAGTAACTACACCCCTCACTAACCGCACCCCTTAATGGCCACACCCATTTCTCCAATATCCGCACCATTTAAAGACTCCCATTTTGTTAAGCCCAAAGAAACATATTAAAAAGTATGATAAAAATAAAACTTTTATTCAAAGGTATTAAACTTGTAGGCACAATAGAAGTATTCTTATTAAATAAAACAACAGCAGGCAAACAAGTGAATTGAAAAAAGCACAAACATTTGTTTTGTTTGATGAAATGAATTAAAACATTTTTAGTTTTCGTTCATTTAATCTGAAATTAATGTTTAGTCTTTGCACATGTCTAATAATACGTGTGTGTGTGTGTGTGTGTGGGAGGGGGGGTGGTAATTTAAATTTTTTTGAATAATTTTGTAATTTTTTTATTATTTATTTACTTTTATTTATTTTACTGTTGGGGGGCTTCGGGGTAATATTAGGGGTGTAAACAGACTCCTAACATTTACCTTTTAAAATAGAAAAAGAAATTGAGGACACAGAGTCCTCAATCTCTTTTTCTGCAGCCTCTCTTCTAAATGAATGGAAAGCACTCGGTACCGAGGCTTCCCATTCATTTATGAACTGATGATAGTAAAAGATTTACTATCAATCAGTTTCTTAATGGGGAGAAGCCTCTGTAGTGAGTGCTACTACCCATTCAGAACTTCATGAATGAACAGGAAGTCATGTAAAGCACTTGCTGTTCATTCATAACAGGGGATAGATAGTACTCTGTGTCCCCAGTTATTTACAAACATTGGAGTGATCAGCTGATCACTCCAGGGTTTGTCCTTCTCAGAGAGGATCAGTAATTATCACAGATATTTACCGTTCCTCCACTCGGCTACACACAGAGCCGCTGCCATCCTGAAACTGACAGGATGAGAGCGGCTCCGCGCTCCTCCCCGCTTGGCCATCCTGACAGCTGCGGCTTCCCTTCTCCTCACCGCTCAGCCATCCTTACAGCAGACAGCGTACCATTTGTCCTTGGATCCCCAATGCCTAAATGGGCATAGGCAGCGCAGATCCAAGGAGAAAGACAGTGCTGAAGTGGCCGGGCAGGGGCGGAGGAGGGATCGCTGTTATGTCGGATGGCTGAGCAGTGAGGAGAGCAGAAGCTGCAGGGTGTGCCGCCCCAAGGCCGAGCTGTGTCGGCCACCTGGCACCCCTGTTGCCATGGCGCCCTGTGGGGCTGCACAGCTCGAACACCCCAAAGGCCGGCACTGGCCATGTTGTGCATGCAATATTTGTTGGCCACTTAAATGCAACTGAAGCCAATATGTTTTTTTGTTTTGGATAGAGTGGAGAGGGATTAGAACCCCTGTAATGTTTATATTGCCGTCTGTGTCCCTGTTAGGGAGAGCCACCCTCTCTATTTGTCCTGGTGACTGTTATTGCCGAGAGTGGAAGTGAAAGAAAATCCTAAATTTGGGTTTGTCATCAGAATAGAAAAAAATGGTAACTCTTCGAATTGGCGACACAGGTTCTGGTGACCCTGCTGAGCACCAGGGTTTTTCCTAGCTTTGGAGGGGATTTCCTCTCACTTACTGTTGGGGCTACCAGACAGGAAGTAAAGGGAAATCTCTCCAATGGGAGATAGATGGCTCACAGAGTTCATAAACCTCCCTAGCTCTATCCAAAATCGAAAACTATTTTGGGTTCAGTAATGCTTTGGTAGTCATAGGAGCCTCTTCTGGGTGCTCCAAATTGTGGACTTTTGGGACTAAGCACTACACAGCAGGCAGCCACTGTCCAAAAAGATAGGTGTGGTTTCAGGATGTAAAGCTTAGCTGCCAACTCATTAAAGTTAAATTAGTCTGCAAAGGTTCTCATGAACGCAGAGCAGCTCCTACAAGCTGCTGTCACTCAGTGGCAGAGGAGGAGCCAGACAATAAGAGAAGGATCTCTTCTCAGGACAGAGCTTAGCCCCGAATATATTATATTACACTGAATTGTAAGCTTATGGTGAATTTTTGATTACAGAAGTACAATGCAAAATGTATTCCTGTATCATAAGAAAACTAACCAGGCAAAAAAAGGTGTAACCCATAGTTCTCCTTTAACAATATTAAATTTTTTCTACTGTTCATAGACTGAGTATTATCACCAAATTCAATTGCTGTATTCCGCTTAAATACATTTCTTGGTTGTTGATGAATTTACATTTTACATATATCTGGAATTAAATGTGTTGCATCACCAATCTGCATATGGTTGTTTGTAACTCATGAAGGCAAGTGTAGACCCATCATAGAGTGTACAATTTTATGTCATATTTTGACACATGATTAATTACTGTGCCATGTAACATGGTCTAGCCTGGGATACCAAAATGATAAGAAACAAACAGACTGACTATGACCTGTCCTTTTATTCATAGATATATTTATTTATACAGTAATCACACATGTGCCTTTTTACCTTTGCAATTGCCCCAAGATAACTTTTCAGTTTCATAACACCATGGTCCACCTGCAAGAGAAAAGATGAACAAGAAATCAAAATACAGCAGTAACAGTTTCTGAGAGAGATGTCCTAAAATGCAGTTAGCAGCTTAATAATATGACCACATTCATTTGTGTTTCAGTGTTTATTTGTGGGTCACCAGAGGCAGCCTTCTTTTATTCACATACAAGTATATTAAAGACTGGATCCTTCACTATAAAATAAATTCCTGCACTTATACTGAACTGCTAGTCTGATTATGACTCGGCTTTTCTCTAGAAACTGCCTCTGATCTTGGGTTGTACTTGGCTTATCTTCTGTCAACTACTTCCAGTCTGTTACTTTTGGTTAATGTTCAGCTAAGACTCTGGTTTCTACTTTTTGTCTGCCCTGACCTTCAGCCTGATTCTTTGATTACACTTGTCTACCACATGCCCTGACCTTTTGCATGGGCTGAGTTTGACTCTGCCTCATTGTTTGGTATTGGTCCTGTCAAAACTGTTGGCTATCAGCAGTAAGACTATCCCAAGGATCACCATGAGTCAGTTGTCAAGCAGCACAATTGCAACCACACTTTAGGGGCTTCATAGAAGCCTGAGAATGAGATTCAAATTAGCTGTGATCTTGGTTGTGCAACAAATTCTGCCAGTTCAAGGGTTCCTGCAGTTTCTTTTTTTTCCAACCATAATCTTTTGCATGGCCTGCAAGCTTAGAAGGGCTAATAATAGGGGCTTTAGGATATATGGCAGCTCCCTCACTAAAAAAAAGTGGGGGCTATGGATTGAATTTCGGACCTGGAAAGTTCGCTAGCTATGGAACATGACCAATGGAACACATTTTGGGTAACTTGGTCTTTTTGGTCGGTATTTTGGAACTCCTCTGCCCTTCAAGATTTGATATCTAAACAAAGTACTCGAGCTTCTTTTGTGGCCAATGCGGTGGGGTGGATTCCCCTTCTCACTTTTTTGCTATCCTTTTATATGACAAGCATTCCATTTGGATATTGACCTCTCCTCTACTGAACATTTTGGTGGCATATTTTATGTAGGAAGCTATATTCATAGACCACCTTCTCATGAGGAGGGGTTCTTACTTTTCTAGCATCTTTTTGAATATTTTCTCGCTTTATCTGATTTTCCATACTTAAAGGAGAATTATGAGGCAAGTGATTTTCATTCAGCCTCATAATCTGAGCCGACCTGTGACAATGAAACTGTCACAGGTCGGCTCAGTAGATCGGGAAGTGAGCGAACACATACCGTCGCTCGCTCACTTCTCGATCTATCCCTGCAGGGAGCCGTGACTGTCACTCAGGGCTCCCTGCAGGGATTCCCCCCCTCCCCTGTCCGATCCTCCAGCGCTGACTGGCAGAACAGACGGGAGAGGAGGCGGCCACAGCTGGCTCTGCCTGTGGATAGGCAGAGCCTGCTGTCACTCACGCAGCTGGGTGGATCCAGACACCATTGTCGGGATCCATTCCGGCTGCAGCGTTTCAGTATACTGAGCTTTGGGTCACGGGAGAACGCTAGTTTGTGTTCTCTCGTGAGCCTTAGGAGAACTATGGGGAATAGCCCTGACCCCAAAGTTCTCCTTTTAATATTTTGTAGTTTTGCTTCTTTTGTATCTGTATATGTTATTTGTTACTTAAGTGATGTTTATTATACATTTTCTTCTTTTTTTGTTTTGTTATTTACTGCTTATCCTTATTCCCATGTTATGTATTTAAACTTTTAATAAAATCACATTGAACCAAAAAGTGAGGGTTTAGAGCAGCCAGTGTTAGTTTATTAAAACTGCTTTAGGCAGAAGATAGGGAGAAATGACAAATTCCATAGGGAGACATTAGGGTCAGTTAGCAGTTAGCAAAACATGCTTTACCTTTGTGAAGTGCAGTGGTAGGGTCTTGTTTAACCCCACGTTTCCCCCCTGCACCACGTTCATGGTTCTACATTTAATTATTATTAGGGCTACTGTCTGTGTCATTTAAATATATTTTATGGTCACTTTTAGCTGCTGTCCATATATTAAAAAAATCTACTTGCTGTTGTCTGTTTCTCTAAAAAAAGTAGGCTTTTGTTTAAGGGAGATGGTATTTCAGGGTTTTAACTTTCCATGTGAGTGTATTGGTTTTTTTTATGTGCATATGAACTTTTTAAGGTTTGGGGTACTCAAAGTGCCACATTTACCCTGTTGCTAACAAACTATTCTTGGGGCTGCTTTTTGTTAACAGCACCATTGTATATTAAAAAATAAACTAAGTGCAAATCAATGTGCACCTGAAGCACCTCAATACTCACTATGGTGCTATCACCAATATACCACCAGCATACTCATTAGTAATAGCCTGTGATATTTATAAAACTTCTGTTTAATATATATTTAGTGTTTAACCCCTTAGTGACACAGCTTGAGAAAATGTTTTTGCTTCTGGGGACCTAAGCAAATTTGCAATTTTTGCTATGTGTTTGTTTAACCATAATTTCCATCTTCTTTATGCATTGCACCTACACATATTATATACTGTTTTTTAAAGGACAGAATGGGCTTTAATTTGATGTGACATATGCATATATAAATTCTTATTTTTTTTATAAAAAAATGTTTTACTGCTGAACAGAATGTGCATCACTATTAAACTCATGTTACATGCATCACGGCATAGTGCAGTGTGTGGTGCTTTTAACCCCCCGCCTGCTGTTTCGCCAGTGTTGGAGGGGGCACAGTTTGGCATCTTCGCCCTGGGCACTGGATGACTTTGTCTCAGCACTGCATAAACGGCTAGACTTCTCTTCTTCAACCTGCAGGCTGAACGAGAGAAATCAGTTGATTTCTCATCCACATTCAACAGGGTAGATAAAGCTCGAACTGCTGGATATTGTATTCAGACAGCCAACACCGGTTCTGAGTATTTGTGTCTATCATCTGATGAGAGGAGGTGATTAGATGTACACATTTATGTGGATGTGTACGTGCAATATGTTAAGGCACATGTGCTGGAGACTGGGCACTGTGGGTTAAAGCAAACGATATGGGTGCATAGAAAATACATGTAAACTGAGGACTGGATGATAAGTGGATATCTCACATATACTTGGGACCATGGTTAGTGCACACGTGGTGGGAACTAGCTGCTGAGGAGGTAATGTACATGTACTGGGGACTGGCCACTGCAAAGTTATTGCATACAGTATATGCTGGGGCCTGGCAACTGAGTGGTTATATAATATAATATAATAAGTAATATGACTTTAATTATTTAATCAGACCAAAAACACATGAGGACAATGAATATATATTTTTTTCATGATGAATGCTTTATCAAACCATTATTAAAGTAAATTATAGACATGTGCAAATAATACAGAACACAGTATACAGTATGTATATAATGTTCATCATATCGTCATAGGAGGAATATAAAACAGAAATGGAGGATGGGCCATCTCAATGGATGCACTGCCTCATATTAAAA